GGGTACCGAACCTCGCGAATGACACCCGCCGCCTCCAGCTTGCGGGTTTCCTGGATGATGAAGGACTGCTTCTTCGTGGATTGTCGCCATGCCTTCTACTTCACGGGGCGCACATTGGGGCACACCCTTAAGTAATGCTCGATTACCCCTCTTGGGACCCCCACTAGCTGCTTGGGTTCCCAAGCGAACACATCCTTGTTCGCACGCAAGAACCTCACTAGTGCCTCCTCTTGATTTGGGTCGAGGTTGGCGCCTATGGTGAAGGTGGCTCCTGAGGACCCATCTTGCTCGACCGACACCTTCTTGGTTTCGGCCCGATCTTGAGTGAACAACTACTTCTTCTTTGCTGGTGCGGCCTCCTTAGCCCCCGGGGTGGCCTCGTTGGCCGGTCGTGCCACCACGGCGGTTTTGAGGGCTCACTTGAGCGCCGCTAGAGCCTCCTTGGTATCCCCAACTACGGTGAGGACGTCCTTATTCCGGGGCATCTTCATGAGGTTGTATGCCGGATGGGTCGTCGCCATGAACTGAGCCAGAGCCGGGTATCTGAGGATGGCGTTGTACGGGAGGCCGATGCGGGCGATGTCGAAGTCGATCAACTCGGTGTGGTAGTTGTCGTGGGTACCGAAGGTCGCAGGGGGCGGATCTACCCCAAGGGGCTAATGGAGCCGCCGCCGACCCCAGAGAAAGGTTTGCTGGGTCAGAGCCGTTGGAGTGGTACATGAAGAAGGTTGAAAGCCTCCACAGAGAGCATGTTGAGACCGGCGCCGCCGTCGATGAGGGTCTTGGTGACAGCTACGCTGTAGATGGTGGGCATGCACAACATTGGGAGCACACCGAGCCGACGGTGGTGGTGGGGTGATCCCCTGTGTCGAAGCTAAGGTCGGCCTTGGGCGCCGCCCAACCCGAGGGAGCTCTTTGGCGCGCGGAGGCGGCGCCAATCTGGCGAAAGGCCGGCTTGGTGTGACGGTCTGAGGGTGGTGCTTGCGAGCCGCCGAGGAGGGCCGCGACGGCGAGGGGCGCCGGTGCCGCGAAGCGCGCGGTGAAGAGACCGCGCAACTCCTCCCAGGAGGTCACCGAAGATCCTGGCAGGCTGAGCAGCCAGGCGCATGGCGCGCCGGCCAGGGCCAGGGAGAATCAGTTGGCCATGACCTGGTCATCGCCTCCAGCTTCGAGGACGGCCTTCTCATACGCCTGCAAGAAGGCCGCCGGATCTGCCGTGCCATCGTAGCGGGGTGGCATCTTTGGCTTGAACTTGTGCGGCCACCGCACCTGCCGCAAGGTGTGGGTGAAGGCCCGGACGCCCGCGGCGCATCCGCAGGCGCACGCCGGCCTAATCAGAGGGGTGGCGTTTGTTGGGGAACATAGTAATTTCAAAAAAAAATCTACGCACACGCAAGGTCATGGTGGTGCTTAGCAACGAGAGGGGAGAGTCGTCCACGTACCCTCGTAGACCGTTAAGAGGAAGCGTTATGACAACATGGTTGATGTAGTCGTACGTCTTCACGATCGACCGATCCTCAGTACCGAACGTACGACACCTCTGCGTTCAGCACATGTTCAGCTCGGTGACGTCCCGCGAACTCACGATCCAATAGAGCTCGAGGGAGAGTTTCGTCAGCACGACGGTGTGGTGACGATGTTGATGAAGCTACCGTCGCAGGGCTTCGCCTAAGCACCGCTACAGTATGACCAAGGTGGATTATGGTGGAGGGGGGCACCGCACACGGCTGGGAGAGATCAATGATCAACTTGTGTGTTCTAGGGTGCCCCCTGCCCCCGTATATAAAGGAGCAAGGGGGGAGGTCGTCCCTGTAGGGCGCGCCAGGAGGAGGAGTCCTCCTCCTAGTAGGAGTAGGACTCCCCTCTTTCCTACTCCTACTAGGAGGGGGAAGGAAGGGGAGAAGGAGAAGGAAAGGGGGGCATCGCCCCCCCTTCCTAGTCCAATTCGGACCAGAGGGGAGGGGGCGCGCGGCTTGCCCTGGCCGGCCCCTCTCTCTCCACTAGGGCCCAACAAGGCCCATTAACCCCCGGGGGGGGGGTTCGTTAACCCCTCCAGCACTCCGGTAAAATCCCGATTTCATCCGGAACTCTTCCGATGTCCAATTCTAGGCTTCCAATATATCAATCTTTATTCTCGACCATTTAGAGACTCCTCGTCATGTCTGTGATCATATCCGGGACTCTGAACCACCTTCGGTGCATCAAAACATATAAACTCATAATACTGATCGTCACAGAACTCTAAACGTGCGGACCCTACGGGTTCGAGAACTATGTAGACATGACCGAGACACGTCTCCGGTCAATGACCAATAGCGAAATCTGGATGCTCATATTGGTCCCTACATATTCTACGAAGATCTTTATCGGTCAAACCGCACAATAACATGCGTTGTTCCCTTTGTCATCGGTATGTTACTTGCCCGAGATTCGATCGTCGGTATCTCAATACCTAGTTCAATCTCGTTACCGGCAAGTCTCTTTACTCGTTCCGTAGTGCATCATCCCATAACTAACTCATTAGTCACATTGCTTGCAAGGCTTATAGTGATGTGCATTACCTAGAGGGCCCAGAGATACCTCTCCGACAATCGGAGTGACAAATCCTAATCTCGATCTATGCCAACTCAACAAGTACCATCGGAGACACCCGTAGAGCACCTTTGTAATCACCCAGTTACGTTGTGACGTTTGGTAGCATACAAAGTGTTCCTCCGCTATTCGGGAGTTGCATAATCTCATAGTCATAGGAACATGTATAAGTCATGAAGAAAGCAATAACAACAAACTAAACGATCATCATGCTAAGCTAACGGATGGGTCAAGTCAATCACATCATTCTCTAATGATGTGATCCCGTTAATCAAATGACAACTCATGTCTATGGTTGGGAACATAACCATCATTGATTCAACGAGCTAGTCAAGTAGAGGCAAACTAGTGACACTCTGTTTGTCTAGGCATTCACACATGTACTAAGTTTCCGGTTAATACAACTCTAGCATGAATAATAAACATTTATCATGATATAAGGAAATATAAATAACAACTTTATTATTGCCTCTAGGGCATATTTCCTTCAGTGTCCGCCATGAAGTTGGACGAAGCAAGCGGAGAGGTGGAGCTTCGGCGCACCCCTACCTGGCGCGCCAAATGTTGGATTTTGGGTTCCAGCAAAACCCTTGAGATTCGAACACTGGGGTGCGCACGAAGATCTCTCCTCCCTCTAGCCCACACTCTCACCGCAATCTTTAGGCTTAGCGCGTCGAACCCGAAGAACAAAGGGACATAAGATTTATACTGGTTCGGGCCACCGATGTGGTGTAATACCCTACTCCAGTGTGGTGTGGTGGATTGCCTCTTGGGCTGAGGATGAACAGTTACAAGGAAAGAACAGCCTCCTGAGGAGAGGTGCTCTTGTGCTTGGTGAGTTGATGCGGTAGAGGACCGGCCCTCTTCTAAGGTGGTGGCTAGTCCTATTTATAGAGGCCCGGATACTCTCCCAAATATTAGGCGGAAAGGGATCCTACAACGGCCAGTTTGAAGGGGACAACTAGTACAAGCTATCCTGACAAAAGATGGTCTTCGCCTGCCAAAGGTTCTAGTGGTGACGCCGTCCTGGGCTCCATGGTGACCTACGTCCTGCCGTCATGTTGGTCTTGGTCTCGTTGCATCAATATGGAAATCTTTGCTTGAGGCCTCCGGACTCCGCGCATGCGCTTGCCTCTTTAACACCAAAGAGGAAATGAGGACACTGCGCGCGCTGGCGCCCGCTGGCCTTGGTCGTCATGGCTTGCATCACAGGAACCTCGCGAGGTGCCTCTTGCCTTGATCTCTCCGCCCCTCGCGAGCCAGCCTGGTGAGGCCGCCCCCAAGGAGGTATTGCGTCGTTCGCCTCGCGAGGCTTGGCCCCTCACGAGGGTCTTGAGTGTTTGCTGGTGAAGATGGACCGTACATGACCGCCGATGGAGCCGCGCCATGGGCCACAGGCAGGCAGGTCTGGGGACCCCCATTCACAGGACGCCGACAGTATATTCAAAAGCGAAAAAGTATAGAAGTAGTTAGTTGAGAGAATCTCAAGAAAAGTCTTGTTCCTCCTTCCGTTGGCGCCGCTTTAGATCCGCGCCATCGGAGGTACGGAGGATCTCGGCCCCCCGCTGACGGGAGGGACCACGTTCTCGTTTTTTGTTTGGTTCAATGTCTTGGTTGGTGCTGTGTGACGGTGGCGATGTCCCTGGGTAGAAATAATGTCTCCCACGTCTAATTCCCGTCCCGACGGTGGAATAGCGTGTCGGAGGACACGTGGAGGTGTGTCTCCGTCGGATTTTGAGGGATTCAGTCGATGCTGGTCTTTGATGGATCTATTGGGATCCAATTTGTGTTCATCTTCGTCCGTGTGGTTACAAGTTTAATCTTTCCGATCCACTACTCTCTTCATCAGCGATGGTTACTGCTGTGGTGCGCTGGTTCTTTAGGATCTTAACGCAATGATTTCTCAACTGTCTATCACAATAAAGTCTGTCTGGATCCAGCGAGGGATGGCGATGACGACGGTGCTCCTTCGGCTCGCTTCAGTACTTGTAGTCGTTGCTAGGTGGTCCGTGAATCTGGTTGTAATTTTTATTATCTCCAGTGTTTTATGGACTGCATGAATAGTGGAAGTTTCTCTTGAAAAAAAAGTTAGCTGAGCGTATAATATTGGCCCACAACTATTGGATGTATAATTACGAAACTAGATTAAACATTTTGAACGGCTTAGATTACAAAAAACTAAAAAATCACGAAAACAATTACTATTTCACTAACCCCGGATTTAATTAAGAATTTGAAGTATAATAAGTAAAGAGTAATATCAGAGCGGGAGAAAATTGTTCCCGCCACGAGGTCTCTTGTGCGCTTCGAAAACTCCCGCGAAACCTGTTCGTTTCCCTCCTCCAAATCCAACCACAAGAAGAGGAGCCCTCCCCCCTCTGGATGCCGCCGCCGCCGCCGCCGTCGTCATGACCGCCGCCGCATGGCCGGTCTGCACCATCTGCTACGAGGACCTCCGCCCGCTCTCCGACCAGCACATCTACTGCCTCCCCTCCTGCGGCCACGTCTTCCACGCCCTCTGGTCCGCCCCTCCCTTCCCTCCCAATCCGTTATCTTCTCCCGTTCTGTCCTCGCGATGGCCGGCTAACAGAGAGGCTTCCCGCGTGTTGTTGCAGCGTAGAGCAATGGCTGGAGTACTGCCCGAGCGCGGGCGGCAAGAAGAAGGGTAAGTGCCCCATCTGCAAGCAGGCCTGCGGCGCCTCTCACCCCCCGACTCGCCTCTTCTTCCAGTCCACCGGCGCGTGCCCCACGCAGGCGCCCCCCTCCTCGTCGCAGGACGCCGACCCGGAGGCGCTCGCCGAAGAGGTTGCCCGGCTGGAGCAGAAGGCGTCGTCCCTTGGCAAGGTGCTCGAGGAGCAGCGCGATGGGATCCAGAAGCTCAACGCCGAGGCTAGTGCTGCTACCGCATCGGTCGGATCTCTTATTGGGCTGGTTCTTTTGTGTGGATCGCTAATGGTTTCTTGGTGGTTCTTGGTTCAGATCGTCAGGTGGAAGGAGCAGGCGGCGACCGCGGAGACGATGCGGGAGTCGGCTAGGAAGGAGAAAGAGTCTGTGCAGCGGCTGCTCAATGCGAAAACAGAGGTAAGTAAGTTCATTGTTCAGGTGGCGAGATCTATTCTCCCTTTTCTGCGTCTGGCTATGGGTTACTGAATCGTGTTGGTAAATCATGGTAGGAGTTGTCGAGGAAGACGTCAGAGTGCGTGAGGTTGCAGGAGAGGAGCCTTGCGTTGGCGAAGGAGCTTGCGGCCCTGAAGCTGTATGCTTGTTCAATCTGAAGTGTGCACAAATATCTGTGTTTGATGAGTGAAATGCATCTGTCTTAATATCTTGTTCTTAGGTCGACTGACACGAACCTTCAGGAAGAAGAGATCCTAAAGTTGGCTTCATTGGGTAACCATGGCAACCTTGAGAATGCTGTTGACGTCCTGAAGAGATCACTTGCTCTCCGCAACAAGTATAATTCTCCATCATTTCCTCATGTTGAAACATGTCGTTCATGTTGGGTATCCATACTAGTTTGGGGGTAACTGCCTAAACATGTTTTACACTGAACAATGGGACCTCGTCATCCACTTCAATAACTGTTAAAGAGTAGTAATAGTTTATGTAAAACTGAATATTGATTTTGGGTAACCATGGCAACCTTGAGAATGCTGTTGACGTCCTGAAGAGATCACTTGCTCTCCGCAACAAGTATAATTCTCCATCATTTCCTCATGTCGAAACATGTCGTTCATGTTGGGTATCCATACTAGTTTGGGGGTAACTGCCTAAACATGTTTTACACTGAACAATGGGACCTCGTCATCCACTTCAATAACTGTTAAAGAGTAGTAATAGTTTATGTAAAACTAAATATTGATTTTGCTTTACCTTATGATGTCGAGTTGGTGAACTTTGGATCGTTGAAGGAAGTGTAATGACCTCAACCTAAATTATAGTCAGTATTTCAGCTATGAAGTTGGAGTTATGACTTGAGACAGTTTCTATGCTCTGATGTCCAATGATGATACTAGTATCAAATGAATTAGCACTTTAGCAGGCGACATGATGTGCCATTCTGGAATCATTTCCATACAAATTAGACAAAGAGTCCTTTTCTTTCTTAAATGAATGCTTTGATTGTCACAAATGATATTCTTATTTAACTTGGTGATTTTTTCTTCTTTCAAAAAGTTACTCTTGTAGCGTACGATTTCACTTTGTATAGCATGGATTTCATGCTTTGGACACTTGGTAATGCATTTTTCTTTCAGGAGCTACAAAGACTTGATGGTCCAATGCAATCATCTGGGAAGATCAGAAAGTCGTGCTCAGCAGAGGATTGAGAAGGACAGGGAGCTGATAAAGAAGTTGAGGGTATGCTTATAACAACTTAAGATCTGTTCCCTGAATTTACATATTTAGTTTGGGTGTTGATCTCTGCAAATAAAAACAGGCAAAGGTACTTGATCTTCAGAAGGAACTGGAAGAAAAGGAAAATAATGTCATCAGAGACTTGAGGTCTTCAAAGAAATTTAAAGCTGACCAGAACCAGACAAATCCAGTGAAGGCCAGTGCTAATAATGGTTTCTCTAGTCCAAGTGCTGGATATGGGAATCAAACGGTTAAGCTTGATGATGTGATGCAAGATGGATGCAACGAGAAGGTTCAGTCGAACCAGGTGACCCCTGAAGCTAAAAAAGATCCGATCTTACAAGACAGCCTTGAAATAAAGATTGCAGATGTGATAGACTTAGATGCGGATGACAAAGGCACGATAAAATGTCCCGCCAAGCCGTTCGGGTATAATGATTACACTTCGGATACACGAAATCAGTCCAGTCGCTGTGAACGTGGTACCGAAGAGCCCACGGCATTCGGATGTGAGCCTTCCTTCTATGTACCAGAAGAAACATCATTTTTGAAACACACGGCAGCTACTGGAAAATCAACATTTCAGGAGTTTCTTATGAAGACCAAACTGCAAAACGTTCAAGAGCTTCCTGTTCTGAGAAGCACGAATGTTACAACTTCAACATGTAAGAAAGAATCACTGACAATTGGTGGCATCTCTAAACAAGCAACTAGGCTGGCTTCTGGCACTGGACCTCAGACATTTCACAATTTAAATTCTCTTTCCGGTGAGTTTCTTGTGAAGTTGCTGATGCAGAACCTCCTTTGGTTGTTTCTTACTATTTGGGATATCCATAGCTTGTTATTTATACTCAATCTCCTGTACTTAGCAACCACCTTTTTCTACAATCAGATGATGATTTTCAAACGCTACCTGGATGTACCGGTGAAGGGGCAAGAAAAGGCATTGGCAAATGGTCCAAGGGCAGGGCAGCACCCGGGTATCTAGGTGCAAACACAAACAAGGGCAATCTGATATCTGTGGGGCACGACGGGCGCGGGGGAAAGGTGAAAGTCCTGAGAAATCATGGCCGGTTCGCGGTGAGTTCAACAAGCTCAGCTCAGGTTCTTCCCTGTCGGACAGCAAAAGCGGCTTAAGTGCATGTATGTATCTAATGTAATCCCATGCATGGATCTGTTGTTGCAGGATAGTAGGACTCCAGCATTGTGGCCAAAGGCACAGCAGAAGGCTGTAGGCAAAGGTGGGCAGTCTAACCTAGAGCACTTCTTTGAGAAGAGATGATGATCCTAGCTGTGCTCCAACTGAGAATGCATGTTGTGGTGAAATGGTGCTACTGCCTGCTGTGTGTCTTGTGCCATACTTGCAGGGAGACATGAATCCAGATTTTGTAATCGGTATACTATTGGCATTGGGCCAGTGATGTTAGAGGTTGGACACAATCTCTCAATGGTATTTGAGACGCCTGAATCCCTCAGTGCCCTGGCTTATGCTTTGGTTTGTCAAGGGTTCAGTTTGTGCCCACGGTGGCATTGTTTATTTGTTTTGATGCACATGTTGTGTCATGTTTTCTAATTAGTATTGTTAAGAGTTGAGGAGGCAACAGAGAAGACTTCACTTTTGGCTCAATGCCGAACTAGGTTATCTGCTGCTGTGTCCGGTTTTGTTCGGTTCACTTTTGGGATCAAATAACAGCTTCAATGATAAAAAACAACAGTACATATTCAGGAAAAGTATACTGAACTTGATGTGAACACATTTTCATTTTTCATATTATCCTCAGACTTAATTCCCATCCTGCTAACAGTTTACTATTTGGTTTCTGTATTCTTCTGTGTGAGAAAACAAAGGATAACATGATATACAGCCTGGTAGGTGCTAGGAAGAGGTGGTTTTTCTGGAGACGCCATGACACGGCCCAATCATGACGAGACACTGCACATGAACCGAACCATGTAGGTTCTTTTTCTTAATGTACGATAGTATATTAGCAACTACTACTCTACTAGTAGGTGCTCAACTTCTAGATCCACTGAAAATGATGTTTAGTGAAAAGCTACACTCTACTTTTGTCTTTAACTCAGAAGCACACAACTTGTAGTTCTCTTGTCAAGGTCAAACAAGTTTAATAAGTGTTTATTTTTAGACTAAATTCCATCTTTTGCCCTCTCTTTTGGCATTTTTGACAGGAACTACCCCATTTAAGAGATTTTCATCCGTGTTACCACATTTTACAAAACTTGTATATTCAATATATTTGCACTACTGGATAGGAGTATATGTTCTGGCGTTATTCAAACTTCTATCTAACTATCACTTAGCTACTTAAAGTCGGCTTAGATATGCACACGTGTATATGCAGTGCAGTATTATTAGTTGCACATGTGTATGTATGCCTACACACATAAATGTGGCCTCCCTTCAAGTGGTAAAGAAACCGTCGCCTCCTAATAGGCTGGAAGATGGGATCTGACTTGACCATGCAGGAAAGGATGTGGTTTGGGTCATCTATGTATTGTAGGAGAGGGAACACGATGCAAGATCTGGCATGCGGAAAAACTGACATTGGAGAAAAAAAAACCATGAACATGGGGCGACATGTATACTTGTTGACATGTGGGATCGGCTTGACATAATGTGCTTATAAATAAAAAAGGTAAAATGCGGGACAAGTTTGGTTAAATAGGGTAAAACAGTTGAAAATCTCTTAAATGTGGCAATTCCTATAAGAACACCAAAAGATTTTTTTTTTGGAATTTACCATCTTTTAACAATTAGAATGAATTGTTGTGTGGCGGGTCTATGCATTGACCCAAGGAATCACAAACTCAATAAGGCTACAAAATGACTATTGCAGTTTTTGTGTCCTGGTTGCTTCTTGGTCGCAGATGCATATTGCAGGAGAAATTTAATTTGCTCGGAGGTGGCGCAAAGCAAAACCATGCAGGATGGTGGATGATCAACATCACTGGTGATGATGATAAGCAAGGATCGTTACTACAACTTGCGAACATAGTTTGTGAGGATCAAAATTGACCATTGTGTCGCCACGGTTCTTAGCTTTCCTTTTATGGTTCATGATTTACACCCTAGGACTTCTAACTAGAACAAACTTGCCCCGCTTCATTCAATATCGAGCATTGCAATCTTGAATTCGCAGGTACGAGACTTTCGTGTAGGGAGACTCGACGAGAAGGCTCTCTCTACGAAATCAGCAGATGCCACCACCTTTGCAACTAGGCCTACTGATCCATGGCCATGGCTATATGAAAGAATTACACGCCAAATCAATATTGCATGTTCATTTGGCTAGCTTTGAGAACACAAGTTTAGGAGGGGCATTGCTAATTATCGGGGCCTTGCTTATGTCTAGATGTTTCCGCCTCAATGCAAGAAATCTAGAGTAACAACTGTAACAACAACATGCAATCTAAAATAACTATTGCCACTAGAACATTTCAAAAAACATCGAAATGCCATGATTTTTCACAGGATCTCGGCTGCAGATCCTCTTTCGAAGATGTGCCGATGATCTTATAGTTTGGTCCAGCTGCCGTGACAAGTTTAACATGATGATGTGCCGAGGATCTCAAATACCCGCACATTTTGCTCCGGAGATATGCTGATGATCTTATTCTTCGGACTTGTTTTATCTATCGAATGAATGTAATCTTTTTTGTGTGTGTGTTATCCTTCTTTATACGATGCAACTCTTCCAGAGTCCCATCAATTTTTTTTGGCCATTGTTCCCAAAATGCATCATTTTTTAAATGATCAATATATATTGTTACTGTACTGTTTCAACAAGGTAAGACAATTTTGTGAGTTGAATGATGTAAGTGTGGTAATGTCCATTCTGCTATATAAAAACACAAACATGACCCAGCTTAATAAGTGGGATGACACGCAATTAAAACATCCCCAGGACAGGAGGGCGTATTGGCAAAACGAGAGTACACGTGGAGCGTCTTCTCTCCCCACTCCGTCCGTCTGCCCGTTCCTCGTCGCCGCCCCGCCCCGCCCCTTGGCCCGCCGCAACGGCCAGCGTCCCTTTGAGAGTCCCCCACCATTAAACTATTCCCTCTACTCGCCCCCTCTCCTATAAGCGCCGCCTGTGGGGAGAGGCCATGACTTCAGGTTCTCGTCGCGACCCCGCAGCTCCCCCCAAACCCTTCTGAGTTCTGATTCGCCGCCCGTTGGTGTGTTTTTTCCTTGGAGGTGGCTCTAGCTCTCCGGCAAAAGGCGGCGCAGATGGCTTCCGCGGCGGCGGCTGCGGCGGCGGGGACGGGGTGCTACTCGCAGACGTCCTGGGCGCTGCGACGCCTTGGCGCCGGAGGCGGCGCCCTCGCATCGGCGGCCACCCGCAGGAGGAACTGCTCCGTCGCGGCTGCCGTCTTTGACAACCAGAACCGCGAGTGGGTGCTCCCTCCCTCTTACCCCCCTGGGCTAGGCTCTCTTGATCTGACTCCGTCTGCTTCAGTCCCTGTCCTCTGCCAAGCCCGTCCCTACTTACGGTTCATGTATCGACCGCCTGCAGGTACGTGATCGTGGGCGGCGGGAACGCGGCGGGCTACGCGGCTAGGACGTTCGTCGAGCATGGCATGGCCGACGGCCGCCTCTGCATCGTCTCCAAAGAGGTAATGCCCATCGCGCATCAGTTAATTAATTACACAAGTGGATTCTTCATTGTTATTCCCTGCCCAGCGCATAATTTTGTTCTGTTGTTTTGTAGGAGTAATTGCTATTCCCTCCGTTCACTAGTACTCGTATAAGATGTTCCAACTTTTTTCTGAATTCAGATGTTTATAGACACGTTTTAGTGTGTTTGTTCACTCATTTCAGTTTGTATGTAGTCCATATTGAAATATCCAAAACATCTTATAATAGTGAACGGAGGGAGTATAATATATGGATGTACTAGAAACTACCAGTACTTCCACATTTTTCTTTTGAGCCTATGTGTGTTGATTTCTGATGGTGTGTGCTTGTTGCGGTGCAGGCTGTTCCACCATACGAGCGACCGGCACTGACCAAAGGCTATCTGTTTCCCCCAGAAAAAAAGCCGGCACGCCTACCTGTAAGTACTCTGGAGTTTGGACAATTTAACAACAGGAAGTAGCATTGAACCATGACAGTAGTGATAGTCTGTTGATTTGGGATTACCAATCTGTTTAACCTCTTTCTCTGTTGAGCATTCTTGACATAATAATGGACAGAAATTTAGTGAAGTCATCATCATGTCATTTGTTCCGACTTGAGTGAAATCTACTCCAATATGTAAACATTACGCTGTCATCATCTGTTGCTATCCATGAATCAGCATTCTTTTAGCTGATATGGTACATTGGTGTCCTGCATAGTTCAGCATCAAGATAAAATCTGCAAATACAGGCATGCAGCCTTAAAACTCGGATGTTTCTCTTGTGGCAGGGATTCCATACCTGTGTTGGATCTGGTGGCCAGAGGCAGACTGCCGAATGGTACAAGGAGAATGGCATAGAGGTAGTTATGAACTTCTGATGCTACTATCTTTTTTTGTTTTGTTTAGTGTGTTCCATAATAATACAAGAATCCCCTTGGTCTGAAACCATTTCTCCTTTCTGAAAGGTGCTGTATGAGGATCCAGTTGAAGCATTTGATGGCAAAACACAGACCTTGAAAACTTCATCAGGGAAAATTCTGAAGTGTGGGTCACTTATCATTTCTACTGGTTGTGCAGCTGCAAGGTATATCACTATCCATTATGCATATATTAGCAGTGGTTTTAATGTGGAAAACCAGATTGTAATATCCTTACCAAGTTACCATGATTACCAATTCCTGCTATAACTTTGCGCTCCTAAGAGGCAAGGTAAATAAAATTCCCACGCTTCTGCAATGATGCAGTAAACTGAACAAGTAGATATAGAAGCCTTGCACATTTCACATGGTTTTCATGAATTTCATCATTGCTTGTTCGTGCTTGTAATATTGATGCTTGTTTCAGACTACCTGAGAAAATTGGAGGAGACTTACCTGGAGTTCACTATATACGTGATGTTGCTGATGCTGATTCTCTAGTATCTTCATTGGTATGCTCAGTACAAAAATAACGATAGATGTTTCTCATGTACTAAAATAGGTTTCTCTCGTGCGACATGACAATAGTGATCTAAAATTATTCCTTGTTTTGTATATTCACACTTTTTAACTTTTCTGCTAAACTGATATTTGGGTTAATTTGGTAGGGAAAAGCAAAGAAAATTGTTGTTATTGGTGGGGGCTATATTGGCATGGAGGTGGCTGCTGCAGCTTGTGGCTGGAATCTTGACACAACTGTAACGGCACTATCTTATTTTCTTCAGTTCTGATATATCCGAAGCATGTTTTTATTCTCTATGCATTGCAAGTGCCAGTTGTATAACTGAAGTTGCTTTGTATATAGATAATATTCCCAGAAGATCACATAATGCCAAGATTGTTTACGCCTTCCCTTGCTAAGAAGTATGAGGAACTGTATGAGCAAAATGGCGTCAAATTCGTAAAGGTGACAGAGTTCCACCAGTCCGTCAACATCATTTGTTTGTCTTGATTTTTCATACTATATCATGTTGAATGTGTATATTTATGGTATCCAGGGAGCTCTTATTGACAAACTTGATGCTGGCTCTGATGGAAGGGTGTCTTCAGCTATACTTAAAGATGGTTCTGTTGTTGAAGCTGATACAGTTATGATCTTTATTTTCTCAAGACGTTCTTATGCTGCAGTACCAAATCCTAAACCATGAAAATCGTCGAGATTCCTGCATTTGAGTTCCTACAGTTGGTCTTGGCCTTATTAAGAGCACCCGTTATATTAGATTATCTAATGACAAGATTATGACCACTTAGATCCACTTGATATTATGTTTGAAAGGCATTTGATAATAACCAACTTATCTTTGAAATCCTGTTAGTAGAAAGCATCTAGACAACCTAATCCCTCAGAAGTGAAGTAGAGTCTATGATAGGTGTGCTATCCTTCTACATTTTATGGTTAGCTAATAAACTAGACTGACAAGCAAAGTCCTAAATTCTGGAAACCAGTAATAGTGGAGGGGAAGAGAGGGGGGAGAATGAGGAAGTCTTTTAAATCTTTGATTAGGAAACCAACTTGATTTCTCAAGAATCAGACTCAGTATTGTTCTCGCTGTCCACAAACTAATCTGTTTAGAAACCCTGCTGGTCGTGGTTGGTTGGATATTGTTGGCGCCAGCCTCTGTTTGGTGAATGGTAGTATTAGCCCATAATGTGTGTCGTGATCAAATGTCTGCTGAGGCAGCAGAAGTTACATACAGTTTATTATATTATCACTAGGAGCATCAGCTACTATTTATTATATTTGATATTATCTTCTTATGTACATATTCTTAAACTGCTGAAACCGTATGGATTCATATCATGAGATCTTCTTATGTTGACATTACATTCTAATGCAGGTTATTGTTGGTATAGGAGCAAAACCATCTGTCAGCCCCTTCGAAGCTGTGGGAGTTAACATCGAAGTTGGTGGAATAGAGGTTTGTTCCATCCAGAAGTTAATGAACCTTATTTGATTTGACTATACTCTGCAGTATGATGTATGTTAGTAGCATGGGTCATTATTGTTCTCTATTGGACACCAAGTTGTGGTTTTACCCTCTCTAGTTGCTTGAAGGTTTAAGGGACTGCTTGCTTTGTCATTTTGTACCTCTAGTAGTGATAAGATTAGATGTATTTATTAATTATAACAATGCATAAAGTAAATTAGATGATTTTTCCAGTTAGACCTTATTGATATCAATTTAGTGATTCAGCTGTCACCTGTCACCTGTCATTACATTTTCCTTGTAAAAGATGTGCTGCTGTCTGAATTTTTTTGTCATCCTTAGATGATCTGTTGGTTCTTCTTTGTAGGTTGATTCCATGTTTAGAACAAGTATACCTAGCATCTTTGCTATTGGAGATGTGGCAGCTTTTCCGCTCAAGGTAGGTTTCTGTGCATTTATCTCAAATAAGGAAATGTTGGATCCTAGAATATAACTTTCTGTGAGCTTTTCTACAGATGTATGATAGAATAGCTCGAGTGGAGCATGTGGATCATGCCAGAAAGTCTGCACAACATTGTATAGAAACACTCTTAACATCCCAGGCAAAAGCGTAAGTTAATGGTTATAAGGTGTATCTATCAGTTTACCTGCTGGTGCTGTGCTTGATTTGCCATCTCTGATGTAGGTATGACTACCTTCCGTATTTCTATTCTCGAGTTTTTGAGTATGAAGGAAGCTCCAGGAAAATTTGGTGGCAATTCTACGGAGATAACGGTATGGTTGCCCCTTTCCAGTTTCTACCTCATAATGTTGATCCTTGTTATTCAACATCAATAATCACAAAATCTCTATCCTCTCTTGTTCACTACGCAGTTGGTGAAACAATTGAAGTAGGGAACTTTGATCCTAAGATTGCTACCTTCTGGATTGACTCTGGTAATTAGTTGTTTTCAATATTTATCATTACTCTCATTTGGACTTCTTTATGACAATCTTTTACCTTGTTATATCTTGCAGATAGTCGATTGAAGGGTGTTTTCCTTGAGAGTGGAACCTCAGAGGTAATAAAATGCGGACAACACCTTTAACATGGCAATATCTTCTTGCAACTTCTCCTGAACTTAATACTGAGATAGTAGCCTTTAAATGAAAGCACATATGCCTTGCCAAGTTGCCATGACCCTTATTCACACACACACACACACAAAAAAAAAAACTTGCGATGTCCTTCTTTTGTGTGAAAAGAGTTTATTAATCAGTGCAAGTTACAATCATGCTAAATAGTTGGGAGGACAAAAATTCTGTAGTCTTGGAGAGAAATCTTGCCATGACCAAAGAGCTTGCAATTCCTATTGTATTTCAATTCTGGACTTCATTTATAAGAACCATTCCGGATTCCTAACAGCATCTCTGCAAAATTTCAGGAATTCTCGCTTCTTCCAAAGCTCGCGAGATCACAGCCCATTGTCGACAAAGCTAAGCTCAAGAGTGCAACTTCAGTTGAAGATGCATTAGAGATTGCGAGAAGCTCTCTTTAGTCTGGCTCTTCTGTTTAACTAGTTGTCAACACATATGGCCTCTTCAGTTTGGGACTGCAGCTTGTTTTGAAAAGTCAGGACTATGATGACAATAATGCGGCCATAGTATCCGTTCTATGCGGGGTCTGTAATTTTCTTAGATGCCCCTCGGCCGCCATTTTCTAGCTTGGCATAAACTTTGACCACCCTTTTGAGGGGTTGAGGAAGATATGATGGAATGACAATATTTTCTTTTGCAGGTTTGAACAGTGGGTGGTATGAACTATAGGTACATTAATAAAACTTATGATCATCCGCCACTTTCTAGCTTGAAATAAACTTTGACCGCCCATTGAGGGGTTGAGGAGGATAATGATGGTATGGAAACATTTATTTTGCAGTTTGAAGTTTAAACAATGGTTTCCATATGCTAATTGAAGAAACTTATGGTCATTTCGATCGATCGAAGGATGTAGCAACGAAATTGGCTAAATCATGTATCTTATTCATGTTTTACTGGGAGTTCTCGATTCTCAGTGCATATCTTGGAAAACTTTCTTGAGGTCTACTGTTTCTCCTGAAATACACACAAGAATTCTCTTGGTCATCCAATTTTCTGAAGAGCACTCTTTTCTGAACATGTTGGAAGTGGAAAGGTTTGTCAGCATTGTCTATACATTGTCTATACAGATGAAAGTTTGTGACCCTTGGGGTACCCTTTCCCACAATTCAACTGACTATTGAAATTTTGTGACCCTTGGAGTACCCTTTCCCTCAATTCAACCGACTATTGAAATTTCAGTTCAATTTTAGTTCACCTGGTTGAACGAAAGGGTTGTACCCATTTGCACCCCCTATTGTCAAGGATGACATTGGATAGGGTATGGTGCGGGTACAAAAATTTCATACCCATGCCCATCCTTCTCATGGTCATAGAAAATCCTACTCATACCCTACCTATCGAGCACCCATGGGCAATGGGTATCCATGCTCGGTGGGCACCCATTGGACGCATCAACGTAACGATGAAGGGTGGCGGCGTAGTTGCTGGCTCCTTGTGTGGTGGAGGCACCAACAAGTGTTGGGGAATTGGTGATCAGGAGGAGGAGAATGGGGCATGGTCGTTCCTATGGTCGGGGAATTGGTGATCGGGAGGAGAGGAGAATGGGGTGTGGTACAATTGGGAGGGTGCGAGTAGTTGGTGGAGATGGACTGTGATCTTGTCGTTTCAGACTTCATCTTATTTAATCGAGCCTACCCTTGATCATTCGACGACATCTTTAATCCACTATCCTTTTAGAAAAACACCATAAGCTTATTGGTTCTGATTTATATATTAAGAAAATGGATACAAAGGTAGAAACAATCAAACAACACAAATATCATCTACGAAAGATTTGTCGCGCCACACACAAGCTTACCGGCACTCTAGTCGGGGGCCGCTATTACTGATGAGCCTGGAGGGCGACACCAATCCAACCACCCCGCACACAAAGCTAAAACAAAATGAGGGGCATCATAGTGCTGCGGAGATGGGAGAGAGGAAAATTTGGGATATTATCTGGAAGGCAAATATTCCGCAGAAGATCTGTATTTTTGCTTGGCGGGTAGCGTCCAATAGTTTGCCTGTCTAGGTAAACAGAGTGGTTCATCACCAGACTACTGTTAGTACATGTTCTATTTGTAGAAATGGATGATGAAAATATTTTTCATGCGCTTGTCATGTGCCCAAAGGCTTTTGCGCTCCATATGGCCATGAGGAACATTTGGGAATTACCTGCGGAGGAAGTGTTCAGATACACGGGGGTTGATTGGTTGCTTAACCTTCTAAGTCATTTGAGCCATCAAATTATTTTCATATTTTGAAGAGCCTGGCATTTGAGAAATGATTCGGTAAGGGCAAGGAATCTGTCTCAGCATCTGCTAGCTTTATGGATAATTATTGGTATTCGTTTGTGGCATATCACTCCTTACCTATGGTGGACATGAAAAATAAAGGAAAAGATCTGATGCATGGTCTAAGAACTGCCCCTAATATGGTGGGGGCTAAGAAGGATTGGAAGTGAAGGAAATATGCCCTAGAGGCAATAATAAAATTGTTATTTATATGTCCTTATATTATGATAAATGTTTATTATTCATGCTAGAATTGTATTAACCGGAAACATAGTACATGTGTGAATACATAGACAAACAGAGTGTCACTAGTATGCCTCTACTTAACTAGCTCGTTAATCAAAGACGATTAAGTTTCCTGAACATAGACATGCGTTGTCATTTGATGAACGGGATCACATCATTAGAGAATGATGTGATGGACAATACCCATCCGTTAGCTTAGCACAAATGATTGTTTAGTTTTATTGCTAATGCTTTCATCATGACTTATACATGTTCCTATGACTATGAGATTATGCAACCCCCGAATACTGGAGGAACACCTTGTGTGCTATCAAACATCACAACGTAACTGGGTGATTATGAAGACGCTCTACAGGTGTCTACGATGGTGTTTGTTGAGTTGGCATAGATCGAGATTATGATTTGTCACTCCGATTGTCGGAGAGGTATCTCTAGGCCCTCTCGGTAATGCACATCACTATAAGCCTTGCAAGCAATGTGACTAATGAGTTAGTTGCGGGATGTTACATTATGAAACGAGTAAAAAGACTTGCCGGTAATGAGATTGAACTAGGTATGATGATACCGACGATTGAATCTCGGGCAAGTAACATACCAATGACAAAGGGAACAAACGTATGTTGTTATGCGGTTTGACCGATAAAGATCTCCGTAGAATATGTAGGAACCAATATGAGCATCCAGGTTCCTCTATTGGTTATTGACCGGAGATGAGTCTCGGTCATGTCTACATAGTTCTCGAACCCGTAGGGTCCGCACGCTTAACGTTCGATGACGATCGATATTATGAGTTTATGTGTTTTGATGTATCCAAGGTAGTTCGGAGTCCCGGATGTGATCATAGACATGACGAGGAGTCTCAAAATGGTCGAGACATGAAGATTGATATATTGGAAGGTTATGTTTGGACACCGGGATGATTTCGAATGAGTTCGGGCATATACCGGAGTGCCGGGTGGTTACCGGAACCCCCTGGGGGCTTAATGGGCCTACATGGATTTTAGTGGGAGAGAGAGTGAAAGTGCAACTATTCCTGGGTGGTTTTGGTAATTCCTAACAACATATAGCTCATTGAGCTAATACTATTTCAAGATAAATATTTCAGGAAAACTCAATGATTGGCATGGCATGGATTAGAAATGTGGACCCCTCAAAATGCTAAGGACAAAAGATTGGCTCAAGCTCTAAAGCTCAAGACTCTACATTTTACCTTTTAGTGATCTAAGAGCATCTCCAGCCGTTGCGCCCCCAAGACGCGCCGAAAACCGCCGCTTGGGGGCGAGCCGACGCTATTTTAGGCTTGGGTGCTAGTGCGTTCCCAGCAGCCGCCACCCAGGTCGCCCCCAGGCGCCGATATCGACCCAGTATCGGCGCTTTCAGCCCATTTTCGGCGTTGGGTTGGCCCAATTTCCAGCGCAAAACGACCCACACTCGACGTGTTTCGGCGCTCATTCAAATAAAATCATCAATAAAATCATCACAAATAATAAAAACACTCATATTTCATTGCACGTCCAGCTAGGTGTTGCCCTTGAGCCTCCATAGGTGCTCCACTAGATCCTGCTGCAGCTGATGATGCACCTGTGGGTTTCGGATCTCCTGGCGCATGTTGAGGAAGGCCGTCCCTGTTGCAGGGAGCTGGTGATCCACTTGGGCAAGAGGACCCTGCCTGTAATATGGTTCAGTGTCAAACACTGGCTCTTCCTGCTCGCTCTCAATGATCATGTTGTGCAAAATGACATAACAAGTCATGATCTCCCACATTTGATCTTTCGACCAATCTTAGCGGGGTACCGGACAACATCAAATCGAGATTGGAGCACGCCAAATGCTCGACTTCCTCCTCGAGAAACGCCACGAGCACCTCCTCATCGTCGGAGTCCATCGCGGCCGGGGCAGGCAAAGCACCGAACACGTAGCGGGCGTCGTGCGCAGACTCGTCGGCGGGCGCCAGAGCGGCGAGGGAAACTCGGGGAAAGTGGGGGGAGAGGGCGTCGGGGGGATCTTTCTTTGTTTTGCAGCAAGGAATGGCGAGATAGCGGCGGCGGCGGCGGAGAGGTGGCTGGCGACGCCGGGATCGGCAAGGTGTTGGGGAAGCAGAGGGGAAAACGGGGCGAATCAGTGTGACTTTTCGCCTGACAGTGGGGACCCGAGCGATTTTCCCTTCCGCCAGCGCCCCCAAGCGCCACCAGTGCGCCGGGTTCGGCCTGGGCGCGCCGGGTCAGAAAACGGGCCGATCCGGCGGATTTCGGCGTCTTGGGGGCGCGACTGGGCCGTTTTTTCGATGCCGGCGCTAAAAAAGCGGCCTGGGGGGCGTCTTGGGGGCGCGGCTGGAGATGCTCTAAGATCACATTGAGTCCATAGGAAAAGCCAATACTATTAAAAAGTGATGAGGTGTTGCTTAATGGGTTACTTGCTCAAAGTGCTTAGTGATATGCTCCAAAACCCTCAGCCACTTTCTCATATCCACATATGTCTCAAACCAAAAGTCAAACTCGGCCCCACCAAAACTTTCCATCTGGTGCCACCAAGTTCAGTTGACATAGCCACTGCCACAAAACCCTAGTCTTTTCGGTCTCACCGATAGGGATCTTGGTCTCACCGAGATGGGATTGCAAACTCTCTGTTTCCCTTCGTAACGTTTCGGTCTAACCGAGATGAGCGATTAGTCCCACTGAGTTCGCAATGCAAACTCTCTGTTTCCCCTTCGTAACGATTTTGGTCTATCCGAGATGAGTGACCGGTCCCACCGAGTTTGCCTGACCAACTCTCTGGTTAGCTTATTACCAAAATCGGTCCCACCGAGTTTGTGTAATCGGTCTCACCGAGATTACGTTATGCCCTAACCCTAATGAAATCGGTCCCATCGAGTTGACGTG